TTTTTTTTTTTTTTTTTTTTTTTTTTTTTTTTTTTTTTTTTTTTTTTTTTTTTTTTTTGCAAAGAAAAAGAAATCTTTTACGTGTGTAGACATTTAATAAATATATGAAAACATTACTAGAAATACATTTCCACAAGATTCTTTTTCTGTGGAGTAGGGGTCATGTTAAGGTTTCTTTCTACGAATAGAAATTGAAAAAGAGAGACTGCAGAAAGGGAAGAACAAAAAACAGAAAAGTGATCATGATGATACTATTCCAGGTGACTTTTTAGATTTCTCAGTCTAGGGTTAATGCACAGGAGGTTCTTATGCAGAATTTTATGGTCAGCTACCATGATGAAAATGCTGAGTTCTTCTTTCCACAGTAGAAGCTTATTTCACTTCACATATTATATGTGTTCCCTAAACGCTGGGTGGGAATGGAATTTTTATGAAGCAAACCATGTTTCCCACACACAGAAACTACAATTTTAGAGATGCTTTACTTTTATTTCCAAATGAAGTTCAATTGAGTTTCTTAATATGTTAGTTTTATGTAGCAAGGCCTGTTCTAACTACCACTGAAGTCAAAGATCTAGAAATACTCATACTATTAAGAAAGCTCTATTTTAAAAAGGGTACTAAAAGGTAAATTCTTTTGAAACATGGTAGCAAGTTCCTAATTTATGTCTCATGGCTAGTAGTTTTGTTTAGTGTTCTAAACTTAGTGACTGCATGTGGTTTGAATTTTCAACACAAAGCTATAGTAAAACAGCAAAAATGGTTCTTAAACACTTTATGGATTTATAGAATTTTATTAGTGTTTGAGAGTCAACCTTAGAGATGATTAATTCTAAAAGACTCATTTTGCAGATGAGGAAACTGAGGTTCAGGCAGGCTTAGCAACTTGCTAAGGTTGCTACCAACTTTGAGATAGAATCAAGAGTAGACAGAATTGAGGACCTTTAACTATTTTCTCCACTTCAAGGGTTTTTATTATACCAGGGGTCAACAATCTTTTTTCTGTAAAGGGCCAGAGAGTAAATATTTTAGGGTTGAAAGCCATATGTTTTCTGTTGCAACTACTCAACTCTGCCATTATAGTGCAAAAGCAGCCATAGATAATACATACATGAGGTATATGCTGTGTTTCAATAAAACTTTATAGGTAAAAAATAGGTGGTGGGCCAGATTTGGTCTCCAGTCTGTAGTTTGCTAACCCCTATTGCTATTAAAGAGCTCAGATCTTATACAAGTAGTTCTTCAAACTGCCTACTTTATTAAATCCTTGATAAAAACGTTTTCTATCTAGTTTACTAGGAATACTTTAGTATGTTTTGAGAATAAAACATATCAATTTGAGTTAAGCAAACTATTCACAATATGTTAAGACAACTAATATGAAAGGTACAATTTTCTACTGAGCAAATTAACCTAAAAAGGAGAAGGTAGATTTCAAACTCAAAGAAAAAGAAAACTACAAGTAATTAATTCTTAATCTTAATTATAGTCCATATGTCAAACATTAAAATGGACTGCCCCCAGCTATATGATTCTGTGTCTCATTTAAGGAAGTGAAAACAGGCAAATAGCTCAGACTTCTGCTAAGTTAAACTACTACATGCACTTAAGGAGGCAACAAAGTAAGTAAGGAAAATGTGGGTTGAACACAGATACATAGCTGACTTAAAGATAACAGCAAAAAACCAATACATACTCCTTTTTTGGTGCTCCCTAACTGAGCTCAGAAACCATGAAGTTTGATAAAGCTTGATAGGCACGGGGCAGGCACATTTTAACAAGTCTAAATACAAAACACAAGTATAATATGTAGAATAATTGGCTTTGTACTCAAGTAGCAAGATAACACGCGGTCACAGTGTAATACACTGAGGGGGGAAAGCCCATCACAGGGACATACTAACATGAGTGTAACAAAGAATTCAAGAGAGGGTCATCTTATTAGGATGCAGAACACTGAACTCAAAGCCTTAAACTTGGAGAGCGTGAGGCTGAACAGAGATAACCAAAAGGTTGGAAAGTTATTCCAAGGTAGAAATGTTAAAGGATTTCGATAGATTACATTTAAGAATTAGGTCCGAAATGAGGTGAAATCATTGATTAAGTCAGAATTTCTGATCTCTCTCCATATAATCATAGCCCAAGTTATTATTCAGTATAGTCAGCATAGCCTATACTCAAACATAAGCTAAACACAGACTTACGACTTGAAATCTTACATTAAGTCAGAATATATGACTAAAGAAGGCTATGCTATCTCCTCTGAAGCAAATGAAAAATGAGACTTGTAAGTGTAGTAGACTATATTTAAGAGCAATTGCACGGCACAGATATCTTAGGAATTCTTTTGGTCTGTGAGAAAGTACTTTATAAAGATGGTCTTTTAATTTACATAGTAATTTTTAAAAACTGTATTGCCTAACTTGGGAAGTAATAATATTACATTTCAGAATCACAAGTTAATAGAATTGCTTTGTAAAATCAATAGAGGAGGATCAAAACCACTTAAATTATTATTTATAAACTGCTCCTACCAGAATAATAGTTTTCAGCTTTTAGAATCAAAGGTACATTTTAGATACTACATTTACTGCTCTGAGTAGCTGGAGCCCACAGCTGCTATGTAACCGACTGCCTCTCACAAACGCTCACTACAGGCAGGGCTTGATGTAAATGCTGCCTTTCAGGAGGGCACAGGGGTCCTCGATGAATCTTTATGTTAGCTCTTGTTGAATTAATAGCAAGGGGAAGAATGTCAAAAGGCAGCTACTAGAGCTTCCTGCTTGACCTTTCCAAAGGTGCTACAGAGGCGTCAACATTCCTCTTGGAGGTGCCAGGACTGCAGAGAGCAGTGCTGTACAAGACTTCCTAACAGAAATGCTCTGTTATCTGTGCATCCGACTCAGCAGCCATCAGTCACGTGTGGTACTGAGCGCTTGAAATGTGGCTACTGCAGCTGAAAACTTAAATTCAAATTTTATTTAATATATTTTTGAATATGTCTTTATTGATTTCAGAGACAGGAAGGGAGAGGGAGAGAGAGCTGAAACATCAATGATGAGAGTCATTGATCGGCTGCCTCCTGCAGGCCCCCTACTGGGGATGGAGCCTGCAACCTGGGCATGTGCGATCCCGGATCATAGGTCCATGTTCAACCGCTGAGCCGTGCAGGCCAGGCTAAATTTTATTTAATATTAATAAATTGAAATGAAAATTTAAGTAGTTACATATGGCTAGTGGCTAGTGCACTGGAAAGTGCAGGCCTATGTAAAGTAGTGGAAAACAGCATTCCTAAACAAACTTTTTCTTGTTCTGCAAAGTTCAGGAACCCCAGAGACTAAGTGGCAAGCCAGAGACGCAAGCAG